TGATGAAGCGGCATGATGATTGATAGAGAGGGACCCGACAATATTATCGTTTTTTTAGTCGAGTGAGGTTAAAGTATTAACATGCAACCTCGAAAATGAGCTGAGAGAGGCGAAAGCCACCGCGGAAAATAATCGCAGAAGAGCTGCTGATTTGGAGTACAAGGTTCAGCAACTCGCAACGGATATAGAGCGCGAGCGGGATAGCTCGGAACGCTCTATACACATAGAACGAAACACAGTGATGTGTTTCCGTCAGGTAAATATTCAGTTGTATTTTTCTAAAAATTGAAGGGAGAGAAAAAGAGAAAAAAAATGAAGTATTATAAAAAAATTTATTTCAGGAGCTAAACGAGGTAGCGGAGGATATGTATTACCTCAATAGAACGCTACCCGTCCTCCACGAGCAACGCGAATTCATGACGCTCCGTGAACAGGAGATGCAAACAGAGCAGCTGATAATCGCGTATTTAGTGCGCGGAGAAGTCCGAGAAACGATCTTTAGAATTAAAAATGACCAGACAATGCACGTGAAGATCTACTTGTATGGCGGAGTTGGGAACGAGCGAGTTTTCCAATGTAAGTTTTCTTTCCTCGGTTTTTTTTCAAATGTTATATATATTTGTTTATTTAGGCCAAATGCACACAGTGAGCGGATTCCCGGTGTCTAACATACCGGGGCTATGCTAAAAAGGAGACCGCAACTGCGTGCGCCTCCACTTTGGAGATCTGGTAGTCGAGAAGTTCGGGGATTATACCGTACTACATGCACCGTTCCGCGACGCGTTGTTACGGGGGAGCACTACGTCAGTATATTTTGTCAACCTGGTCGCAGATGAAGAACTGAGGATCAACATTGACCGCATGCCGGAAGAGTCTAGACTTGTGTCATTTTTTTTCATAGGAATAAAGATATGTATTCCAATGTTTCTAATATTTGCCCGGGTTTCTAAATGTAAATGAGGACCTTAAAAATTCATTATCACTAAGCTTCAATGAGGGTGGATACTATCCTTTCCTCCTATTGAAACTAATGTTAATTGAGGTTGTCTTCACGAGCTGAATATAGATGATATATAGTTGATAAAAGCCATTATCATTAGGTGTCGACGAGGTTAATACTATCCTTACTACTATCCTTTCCTCTAGTAGTGACTAATGTTACACTGGGCTTGCTTCGGAGCTAAATATAAATGAGAGATATGTAATAAAATCCATTATCATTAGACTTCGTGAGGTGGATACCATCTTCCTCCGATGGCGACTAATGTTACACTGAGATTATCGGCGACTAGTGCCGTTATGCGTAAAATGTTATTTTTGAGACACCAACAAACTTTCATCACTCGCAATTTATTAACTGCCTCGTTTTTCGCAGTGTATCTTTTGCGCAATACCCAAGCGCAATGAACAAGAATAGTGTAAGAGTGAACGAGAAACATTTGCTGATTACTAGGTCAGCACGCCTACGCATGTCAACATTTTTCCTTTGGTTTTATTTGTCTTCAAAGAATTTGTAGGTCCCAAAAAAAA